GCATGGGTCTGTGACCCGAGGGCTCTGTGGGTGGGTGGGCAGTTGTGGGGCAGAATTTCTGGAGGGTGTGTGGGCTGGGAGCAGGAGAAAGCTGGGGGTGCCTGAAGTTGCTTGTGTCAGAAAGCCTCTCCTCCGGTGGTGAGAGTGGTGGTGTGAGTGCCCTCGTGTTTTCCGCCCTTCCTGGCTCTCCAAACCCTTCCCTTCTCTGCCGTAGCGGCCGGGGCTCTGCGCTCTCCCCTTCTTGGGCCTGTGTTAGACAAGTCGTGGGCTCTCTGGAAAGCGGTGTCAGGGTTTGAGCAGAGAGCAAAGCCCCCACCCTCCTGCACGCGAGGGAACTGGGGGCATGGGCCAGCCCAGCCTTTCGCAGGAAAGCCCCGCAATAACCCGCTGTGAGTCCATCTGCCCCCACGTCCGCCCTCCCGCTGACCCCCCACCCCCGCGCATCTGCAGGGCTCCCGGGGGAGAACCGCGCACACCCGCCCTCGGGGGCTGCAACTGGTTTCCTCCTCGGCTCTGAGTTCCCCGGCAGTCCGATTCCATCTGCTCTCGGTCTTTGGGATTCCTCGCAATTTCTGATGCGCGGATGGCACCCTTTCCGAGTTTCCCACAGCTGTTACAGTTCTGTTTTTCAAAAATATAGATTATGAATAGTTTGGGAGCTTTGGAGAAAGAGGCAATGGATGTCCCGCTCCCCCCCTCCTCCCCTTGCCTTTCAGCCGGTGGCCCTCTGGCCGCGGGAGGGAGAACAGAGGTGCTTAGCGACAGGGGCAAAGCCGGGTCTTCCCTCCAGGACCCCCGGGCTTCTCCGGGCGCGCACAAAGCGCCCAGACTGCAGCGTGACTTCTCCCCACGCGGGTGGTTCCCCGCCACGTGTTTGCGTGTCATGAGCACCAATAAATCTGGGAGGGAGACCTCGGGATTACTTTAACTTTTATTGCTTATGATTCCTTGCACTCTCCGCTTCCCCCAGACTGAAGTATTGGTAACGAGCCTAAGAGAAGTGCAGAGTTCCATAAACTCCACGACGTGCAGTTTTGGAGATGTTACCCATTTTTTCTGTATGTGACCCGAATTTGCCACTGTTACGTGCCTTTATTTCCTCATCTGTGTTTAGGGGATAAGTATCAGAAACCATAACATCCACTCACTCGTTCACAGACACCCGGACACCAGGCATCAGCCTGGGTGTTGCAAATAAAACATACACCACGGATGTAAAGGGCCCATGGGGGTGACACCCTAGCGTGTCCTAGTACATTTCCCACAAGGAACGGAACTGGGTGCAAACAAGCCCTCCCCCCAGGCTCCCCGAGGCTCTACTGATAGGAGCACCTTGCTCCAAGCTGCTCACCCTGGGGTGGGGGCACAGGGGACAGGCCCGAACCCGGCATCTTCTTCTGAAAGGCGCAGAGGCCTTGGCCAATGTCCTCGTCTTCTCAGCTTCCCAGGAAGCCAGAAGAGGTGGCAGGTATTGTTCCCACTTTATAGACGGCGGTGAGGGTCCCGGGACCCCCCGCAGTCGCCCCTGAGTCGCAGAGGCAGAAACGCACTGAAGGTAGCGTCCCCTGCGCCCTAGACCACGTCCTTCAGTTCCAGCACCAGCAACTGAAATCCCTTATAAATACAGATGAATTTCATGGCATTTTGAAAATATAAAGGATACATTCTTTAGATTTTTGATGACACATAAGAGCTTCCCCCACCCCAGTGAAAGCTGAGTTATTGGTTCACTGACGCCCCAGGCGAGCACGTTTCCTGAACTGCCATCATTACGCGGATTTGAACACTTTATGAAACGTACAAACTTAAATTTTAGGATTCACCTGGTTGCTTTTCCTAGAAATGCTCCTAATAAAACTAGTGTGGGGCTTCTGGGGTTTTGTGAGGTTTCTCATTGCATTCCTGTCCTTAATAACAGGAAGCAAGGTCAGTGTGGTGTCCTTCCCCGAGGCAAGGCTTCGGAGACCAGCACGATTTTCCTGCTGCTGGCTGTTGACCACATGTATGCACACACACACAAACACACCACACGCGTGTGCACACACACACACTCAAGCTCACCTGTCCCTGGGGCTCAGAACTCACCTGGGAGAGAAAACGTTTGCCTGGGCAAGTGGGACTTAACAGACTTGCGAAGGTGGAAGTGACCGCGTTCTCTAATCCTGCAGCCTGAAAACAGGCTCCTGCTGAAGGAAGTCGGCCCAGCGGGGGAAGGAAGAGCCTCGGTGATGGAGCAGCTGCTTGACGAAGTGAGTGCAGCCAGGAGAGCGAGTCCCTCTGAGGGTCTCAGCCTGGCCTTCCTCCTCCGTCTCTTTCCCATGGAAGTTTTGTTCGATATTGTGATAATCACAGTGCCATTTAATTAAAAGCTGTCTGGAAGTGGGTTAAATGGCTAGTCAAAAACTTTACTTTAATCATTACCTGCCTCTAATTTTTATAGCTAAGAAAAATGCACATAGTGGGGAGGGTATGGCTCAGAGTAGAGCGTGTGCTTAGCATGCACAAGGTCCTGGGTTCAATCCCCAGTACTTACACTAAAAAATGAGTAAGTAAATAAAGTTTAAAAATAATTTAAATATACAAATAAAAAAGAAAAGAAAAGAAAAATGTGCATAAACCCAGAGAACATGTGGGAGTGGTCGAGTGTGGTGTTTTGTGGCAAGTCTGTCCTCTTCCACGTGCCGCAGGGAGCAGACCCCAACTGCAGCGACAGTGAGGACCGGCCCGTGCTCAGCACGGCTGTCGTGAGTAAGCACCACGAAGCAGACGTGGACCAGCAGTGGGGACCGTAAGTGAGACACGAGGGGGCGGGTTCTGGCGTGGGGTCAGCTCAGGCCTCCCCGGGCTCTGCCGAGCAGAGTCGGTGCACGTGCCCTGCTCCATTTGGACCACTTAAGAACCATTTTCACCCATGTTGGCTTAACTGCTTCTATTTTCCAGATCCGGGTAAAACAAACTTTTAAGCAGACCATTGGACTGTCTAATTTTTAGTAGCTTTGAGAAGTGATGATACATTTTGTTAACTCATGAATTTATACTTTTGTGGGGCTTCAAGTCCTTGGCCTTTGGGTGTTAAGCAGTGTTTTCTTCACCATTTAAAACGGTAAGATTGATAAGAGTGGCCCCAGAGTGTTCCCCATGGGAATATACCCGTGAAATTACCGCAGAAAGAAAACCTTATGGAGGCGTCTCCGGATGCTAACAGCATGTCATCGCCTGGTGCCTTGGTTCCCTAGCTGGGAAGTGGGCGGAGCCCCTTTGGATGGTTTTGTAACTTTCCTGCTGTTGGTGCTGTCCCGCCTCTTGGCCTCACTCAGCCTTGTGATTCTGTTGTTCTCCTGCAAACTTCTTTGGAAACCTGGGGCGGAAGGTTTCTTGAGGCTAGGACTTCACGTGACCTCTCGCATCCCGCTGACCACGCTGATGAGCTACAAGTCGTGTGGGGGCACTGCAGGTCCACCTCTGCTTGAACCGAGACGAGGCTGGGACCCGGTGAATCGTGCTGCTGAGTCTGGGAAGCCGGCCCGGATGACAGAAGTTAAATAGCTCAGCTTCTGTCTTCCTCTGTTTCAAAACTTCCTCTAGCATCTTTATTCAGAGTATATCCCTCTTCATTTTCCTATGTGCATTTTTTTTAAAGTTTCTGCCCAAGAGGACCCCTATGTCAGTTGACACGACCCCTTTTTTAGTTTTATTTTATAACAGAATGTTTGGCATATTGGTGTACATACTCGATGGCTGGAATTTACTTTCTCAAGGTTTCTTAGGGTTCACGTTCATCATGCCTTTCAGTCTCTTCATTTATCCTACAATTAACATTATTGACAAAAATAATGCCGCCTTACTGTGTTAAGGTACACTCTATGCTTGTATAACTCAGATAGGATTTTTCTGTCGCACTTAAGTACAGTGCTTGTGGTTGATATAAAACCCTCTTGAGCACATTTTGAATTGCTGCTTAAGTGTGACGAGGCCTGGCTTTCTGAGAAGTCCAGCTAAGGGGATGAAACTTCTTTAGACGTGGACAGATGACCTACTTCTCCCTGGTGTTCCTCAGTTTCCGTTTTTGCTTCGTTACTAGTCTGTAAGTTGACATTTATCCACATGTGATCTCATTGCATTTCTACTAAGTCTAACACTGTGGTTAAATGTGGTCTGTCTAAATGGTGCCTAATAGCCCTTTGTCACTCCCACTGCGTTGTCATGGTACTATTAGTAGGGGGCGGGGCAGGTGCAGTGAGGATGGTCGGGGGTGGATATAGCTCAGGGCAGTGGAGGGGTGGGGAGGCCGGGAGGGAAAGCGAGACCGGAGGCCCTCCCTTCAAAATAGAGCCCAGAGATCTCTTCATTTCAGTTTATGCCAACAGAGGAAAGCAGGTGTTCCCACCGAGGGCCAGTTCTGCTGAGTCTGCTTGTATTAGTTAGAAGTGTTTGTGCTGGGGTCAAGCTGGCCTCTGCCCCACAGTGAACCCCTGAGATCCAGGAACGTGACCTCAAGACCCTCCCATCCTACCGCTCCTCAGGCACAAGCGCCCCAGAGATCTGCCTGTCCTGTGAAAGAGGCTCAGTGAACTGCTCCTTTGCAAACAAGGCTGAAAATGCCCTCTCCCACCCGACGCTTGTGGGCCACCCGAGAGGAGCAGCCTAGGTGGTGTCTGCACAGGCGACTTCTGCCAAGTGGCTGGGCGGGTAGCAGAAAGCCCCTCCCTGGGGTTTCTGGTTCCCGTGTTTGTATCTTTTTTACGAGAATAACCTCATACGCTGCAGATGGTGGGTCGCCAAGGAGAAATACACACTCTCTGTCAAAGCTGATCCCTCTTAACCAGCAGATTTCAGAAACCCAGATGCAAGGTCTCGCCAGGAGGGGGACACAGAGTAACACCCTCTCCTTTAGGACAGTTGCAAACCTTGAGTCTCTGAGCTCTGCCCCCGGAGCCATCAGTTTGCTTCGAGGTTCGTTCAGGATTTACAGAGAGAGATTTAACTCCCCTTGATACTTGGATTTGGATAAACAGTTTGAGTTGTTGGTGCCTTAGTAGAAAAGTTTCTCTGTGATACAAATTCACAGAGCACAGCAGTGTACCTGCGGTGCAAACCACCTTCTAGAAGGTCTGATGAGACAGACAATACCAAGCTACTCAGAGACGCAGGCTCACAGCATGGGGTTCCAGCAAGGAGGTGCCTTCCACCTGGTGCCCTTGCCCTGCTGGAGTTTGTTTGAGGAGCGGTATATAAAAATAAGAGTTAGCAGAATCACGATTCATCAGTTTCCAAAACTGAACTGTGGTGACACAGGAAATAACCAACTTGGAAGACCTAGCCATCAGCAGACCCCATTATTTAGCAGGTAGAACACACACTCTGCTCCCTGTCTGGGGAGAGCTGTGAAGGCAGAGGACTGTGACCTTACTTCGGAGATGCAGCAATGCTGGGACTGTATCTTAAGTTCAAGTGATAAATGCCTGATGAAGTCCCAAGGAAGTTGAGGGAGTGAAGTGCCAGTTAGGCCTTTGCCACCAGGGAGGGAGGACAGATGGAAGGTAGGAGGAGACGGGTGTCGCTGGTGTGGCTGGGACCTCCGTTGTCGGCGCTCCCACAGCATGCTGCGAACCCCTTGATCCCAAATCGACAACCCAGTCCTCTGAGCGCCACTGTGTGACGGTGACCTGGTGGCCCTGGCATATTTGTAGACACCAGGCTGGCACTCAAACATGAGCTGAACACACGAACAAATAACTCAAGTGACTTCAAGCCGGGTAGAGGTCATCTGAAAGACCTTGAGAAATTTAAACTTTTTATTTCTCCTTTTAAAAATTTTTTAAAAATTTTATTTTCATTTTCTTATTTTTTAATGGAGGTACTGGGCATTGAGCCGAGGACCTCGTGTATGCTAAGCACATGCTCTACCACTGGGCTGTACCCCTACCCCGAGCAATGTAGACTTTGAAGGTGACCTCTGGGAATTTTGCTAAAGGAGGTGGGGGAGGTAGACTCCTCTCTGGTGGCAGAGGACAGTTGGGAGGCAGGAGAGAGCAAAGCGTGGAGAAAATGAATGTATTCTTGCTAGGTCTTCTCATCTGCAAAATGGGGATAATAATGCTTATGTCCTCGGGTTAGTTGGAGGATGACATGATCGTTGGTCAGTGCCTGTGAAGAGCCTAATAATCGGACTTTAGTGTAGCCGTCGTGATGCTGTGATTATGAAAATGGTGGGTTCCCGGGCTTTGAGTGGGAAGTGTCAGCTGCAGGATGTGGTGATGCGGAGGAGCGGGGCCTGGGGGAACAGCCACGTGGGGCCTTAAGTCATAGAAGCCCAGGGTGGAAGGTGTTAGATCTAAGTTCTAAGTTCCCACACTTCACAGATGTCACCGAGTCTTCCCAAGCCCACACTTTCACGTTAAGGAAAGGGCACATGCATTCTTTTGATGCTGCAAACTCTAAGGAAGTGAACGTGATCAGTGCCCCTCATACTTTAACTTGCACATAAATCACCCAAGGATCCTGTTAAACGCACATTCAGGACATCTGGGCGGGGCTGGGGTTGAGATTCTCCATCTCTAACAAGCTCTCAGGGGATGCGAGTGGTCCAGGGACCACAGCGTGAGTAGCAAGGACCCAGAAGCGGCTCTTAAAAACACTGAGATCTGAGAGCAGCCCAGCGTGGCCCTTGGTGAGGAGGTAGCTCGCCAAGCTGCTGGACACGGGGCTTTCGTCCTGTCCCTGACAGGTCAGTTATGTTGATCTGATCAATCTAATGGCAACCATACCACCACCATCAGCGGTAATATGAAGGCTGATGCCCAAGTCTTAGTTGCTTGGAGGAACTGTTTGTACTGAACCAAAAGGCAGATCTTTGGAAATTCGTGGACAGTCTGTCATAAGGCACATGGTCCTGCAATTTTCACGTACTGTCTCTGGAGAAATACGAGGCTGATCACACCACTTATATTTACTTGATACCAGGAGCCTTGGCCAGTAAGCTAGCTGAAATTATGTGCATGATAAGATCTAAAATTAGATCTAAAACCATTAGGGTGGTTTGACGCTTAGAGTTCTGATGCAGCGAAAACCAGTGAAAGTACTCAGTTTCTCATTTAGTTTGGAAAATGGAAAGCCTTCTCATGAACTGGACAGTTTCAATTCTGGAGCCCAAATCAGGCAGAGGATTCCCCTCCCACAGTTGCCTGGAGAAGTTCATGGTCACGTTTACCTGAAATTCTTGCAAGTCGTATGGGTTTCAATCTTGGAGGCCATACCCCTTCCCTTGATTTGTTTGTCTGTTCATTCTTTCCATTGATGTATTCATTTCACTAGTGGTTACTGAGCACCTACTGTGTGCCAGTCAGCGTTCTAGGCGATGGCGATACAGCAGTGACAAAGACGAAGTCCCTTCCCTCGTGGAGCTTACAGTTTAGTGGAGGAGACAGACAATAAACAAGTAAGCAAATGAATAAGTAATCTCAGAGAATGATAAGTGCTCCGAAGAAAATCAAGCCAGGTAAGAGACTGGAGGATGGTGTGGTCAGGAAAGGCCCCACCTCTGCCCGCCGGGACCAGAGACTCCCAGAATGAGTCTGGGACAGACCTGCTTTAGGTGCAGAGCAGTACTGGGAGATTATTCACCAACTTCATCACTCATTTCTGGTCTTGTCATAGTGACATTGCCTTATTTATGGCTAGTCTGGAAGACAGATTTCTTTAATTGTGTATATTTATTGAAAACATCTCATACACACCAGATACATTTCTGATTTTATCGAAGTAAGATGTACACATGATTGAAAAATCAACTCCTGTGGAAGGGCTCAGGAGTCCTCCTCCACCTTCACTTCATCCCCAGTCCTCGCCCCCGGGGACAACTACGCTTCAACTGGCAGTTCCCGATGTAGCATGCCTGGAGGGTACCTTGACCCTTGCCAGATACATGGTTTTCCTTGCTGACCCCGCCTCATTATTTCTATCCCCACCTTCATGTTTTGGTCATTCTTTTACTGTTTTTGGATCCTTCATTAATGACTGTTAAAATATTAATGATGTGCCTAAACTTCTATATTTTGGCTGTCATCTTTCAATGGTGCCTCCTGCCTGACCTGTACGTCAGTGCAGATGAGTGTAATTCATCTTCCTGCCTCTACCTCTACCTCCCCTTCCCCTTCCATCTCATAACTGCTGTTGGAATATGCTTACATTTTACAGGGCTAATCACAGTTACATTTACTTGTGTGAACATAATGAAGACTTCCATTCTTTGTCTATCAGTTGATTACAGTAGTTAAAAAACACAAAGGGCAATTTTCATTTATAATAGTTACATAAATATTGCCCATGGGTATGCTCTGAGTACATTTCCTTATTTATGGGTTCAAGATAATGACCCCTAGGCTACTCAAAATCAAGTGTTCTTACCAGAAATGTCAAATGGATTCTCTTTACACATCATAAATTATTCAAAACCATGTTGTGTTTCATTTTCTCCTGTAAACTGTGAATAACTTGTACATTTTTTGTGTGTATTTGATTTTCCTGGAATTTCTGATCGTCTTTGTTTTTTCTGGTTTGAAAAAGAACATGCCTTTACCACATCCATAATCCTATCTGGTTCTTTGCATATTCAGTGCCTTCCTTCTTAGAGACATTCTTCTTGGAGTATACTTACTGCTCAGATTTTGCCTGACAGCTCTCTGGCCCTGATGCACAGTGGTCACCATGGAATTTCTTTTCACTGGAACCCACCTGTAGTTATTGCTCACGCTTTCCTCTTTCTTGGTTTTGACCCTTGTCAAGCTAGAATGTAAACTCTTCAGAAAGGGTGTGTAGAAAAAAACTTCTGAGTCCTTGAATGTCAAAAATGACTTTTTGTCTTCACTTTTTTTCCCATCTAATTTCTTAAATGTATTTATTTTACACTATCATATTTTAAAAATTGAAGTATAGTTGATGTGCAATATTATATGTTACAGGTATACAATATAGTGATTCACAATTTTTAAAGGTTATACTCCATTTACAGTTACTATAAAATACTGGCCATATTGCCCATGCTGTACAGCACATCCTTGTGTCTTATTTTATACCTGATAGTTTGCACCTCTTCATCCTCCACCTCCATCTTGCCCTTCCTCCTGCCCTCTCCCCACTGGTAACCACTCATTCCTTCTTTACATCTGTGAGTCTGTTTCTTTTCTGCTATATTCACTAGTTTGTTGTATTTTTTTAGATTCCACGTGTAAGTGATACAGTATTTGTCTTTCTCTGTCTGACTGATTTCACTTTGTCTTCACTTTTGACTAATACTTTTTTTACATCTCTTTTTCATTTCTTTTTTTGTTTTTCAATATTTTTTATTGAGTTATAGTCATTTTACAATGTTTTGTCAAATTCCAGTGTAGAGCACAATTTTTCAGTTACACATGAACATACATATATTCACTGTCACATTTTGTTTTTGCCGTGAGCTACCACAAGATCTTGTATATATTTCCCTGTGCTATACAGTATAATCTTGTTCATCTATTCTACATATGCCTGTCAGTATCTACAAATTTCCAACTCCCAGTTTATCTCTTCCCACCCCCAACCTTGGCAACCACAAGTTTGTATTCTATGTCTATGTGTCTGTTTCTGTTTTGTATTTATGGGTTTTTTTGTTTTTTGTTTTTTTTTAGGTTCCACATATGAGCGATCTCATATGGTATTTTTCTTTCTCTTTCTGGCTTACTTCATTTAGAATGACATTCTCCAGGAGCGTCCATGTTGCTGCAAATGGC